ATGCAGAAAAACTTGCCTCAGAACACTGGTGTCAACTTACTCAATCTTCAGAAGATTTTCTTGCTTGATTTTTGACATAGATTAATAGAAAAAATGACTTGATTGAAGCATGTACAGGGGTTAGACAATGAAACTGAAGCACCTGTCATTTTACTGTGGGAGGTTTCATGGCTAAATTGGACCAGCCTGGTAGCCAATCTTCATTAATTGCACATTGCACCAGTAAGAGCAGAGTGTGAAGGTTCAATTAGCAAGGTAAGAGCACAGTTTGGCTCAAAATATTGCAATGTACACAACATTATGGGTGACATACCAGAGTTCAAAAGAGGACAATTGTTGGTTCACGTCTTGCTGGAGCATCTGTGACCAAGACAGCAAGTCTCTGTGATGTACATCAAGAGCCACGGTATCCAGGGTAATGTCAGCATACCACCAAGAAGGACCAACCACATCCAACAGGATTAACTGTGGACGCAAGAGGAAGCTGTCTGAAAGGGAAGTTATGGTCTAAAACCAGGTGTTTCACTTTCATTGTCTAACCCATGACTATTTAATCGGAGGCCCACTGGTGACCAAAGTCCGGCCCACCAATTGATTCATTAATCTCTTCACCCCAAACTCCCCATTTTTTACTTTAATTACTATATGTTCTTTAAGTTATACATAGACATGTTTAGTATCTACAGAAACTTCTGCATCTTGGCTAGAAGCTGGTAGAAAAAACATTTCTATGAAATCCCAAGACACTTAAAACTAAAAGTAGTAGAAATTAAAAGTAGGATAAGTAAAAAGAAAATTAGTATAAAAATGTAGCAAGTTAAATATGTCAAAAATAATGTTTTTGTCAATTAGGAGACATAATGTTTTTTATATTGTTTTAATATCACTTATTTAATTACATAGGGTTCTGTATGTTGTATTCATGGTTAAATGCAGTAAAATAAACAAATTCAAAGGGAATAGATCTTTGTAATACTTGGTTTATTTATATAATGACTTTAATTGCTGGATGTTCGGCCCCTCGGGTGTTGGCCTGCACTAACTGTTGCCCCCAGAGCAATTTAGTTGAATAGCCCTGGTCTAACCTCTGTATTTTCTATTTGTTTTCATTAGCAACAAAAACACATTAAAATTGCTGTTTTAAAGGATCTGCTGAGAGCAATCCTAAACTAAAAATAATGAATTTATTTGAGTGAACACAGTCTCTGCATCTGCCATTTTAAATCCCTAACTGAGACAAAGGTGAAGATATAATAACTTGCAATTTATGGCATGAGCTGAACAAAACTGGCTTGCTGCTCCCCACCTCAGAAGACGATACCACATGTTACGCTTCATAACACAGATCTAACTAATCGGTGTCGGCTAATTAAATCGCAGTGATTGTAATGACTGACAGCTGTTCTGTTTTGTAATAAGCAATACATGTTTAGTTCAAAATACATCAAAAATCTACAGACTGCACGCAGAGGTAACAGAGTGCCCCACACTGATTCTGTAAACAAAATGGCTTTGGTACTAAGAGAGCTGTTCTAATAATGTGTTCTTTACAAGACACAATGTTTCCAGATAATGCAAGACCTACAGATGTACGAGTCACAAAAGTTTCATCCGTGAAAATGTCAGAAAGGTGGAAGCCATTAAAAGGTTGTACCGTGTGGACAATGGTAATCAGTTAGATGAGGCTTCTGATTCACACACACCCCCCCCCCACCCCCCCACATCGTCATTACAGCACCGTTAAGCTAATTTCCACTTTGGCTTTAACTGTTTGACACTGATGAGAAACCAGGACTTGTGTGTGTGTGAGAGAGAGAGCGTGGGAGTGTGTCTGTGCGCATGCGCAACAGTGCACGCCAGTCGTTTTGATTTGGGTTTTCTCATCAAGCGCAGAAATCTTCGCAGCCCATAGACCACCATTCCAATGTCCTATCTGTGACCTCGATTCACTTAGGCATGGCCAGTGGCTCAATCAGCACCGAATTCTGAMTGGGCTGAGCCAATGGCATGTGTCACATCTAACCTAATCACACACAATGATTGATCAACAAAGTGGGTCAGCATTTCTCTGAAAGTCTCCTTCAGGGCTGGTCTGGGAAGAGAATAACTTCCATATTTATAGAAGGAAACTCAACTTTAGCTCAAGATTTAAAATTCTGTTTTCTGTACAACGGTTTAATAGCTGCAGTGCACCGGACACATTTGACTGCAGTTACCTTCGGCAAGGTTAGCAATAATGACCACTAGAAATTTTTTTTTTTTATTTCATTAATCTTTTGCCACAAACCATTACCGTTATAGCAAATGACGGAAAATTATTCCTCTGTTATTATTCACTTAATAGTCAAACAAAAGACTGTGCTGAACGTTTCCTGGCTTTAGTCATTCTTGTGTTTTTTTTCTTTTCTAAAGTACTCTGTGGCATTTAAAATCCAAAAATTACATTCAAAATCACAAAGACGCACGGTGGTCAGCCAAAGAGCTACGCTGCACTCAGAAAATCTACAATATTTTTCCAAGTTTTCCATTTGCAACATTAAAGATGGTGATGCATTGTGGACACTGGCTGGCAGTGATGTAAAATATGAGCGACACACTGAAACACACTCGCACTGTGACCCATCCTAGACTTCACTCAGAATGTAAAGTCTAGAACGAGGYGCAGTCTCTGAATCTTTGCCGGAAATGTGAACAAGTCAAACAGCTGTGGAGCAGAAACCGCCCCACCCTGTTCAGTGACGGGGAGTATGAGCGAGGTGGGGTGGGGGGTAAGTTATGAATAAAGAAAGGAGGGTGGAGGAGAGGTGAGCAGATGAGAGTTTGATGAAGGAGAGAGGAAGAGGAGGAGAGAAAGACACCAAAACGCTGCCGTCACTTCACTCTTAAATGAAAGATCGATGAGCTTATTTAAATGTGCTCCCAGAGACGAGAGCTGGCTCAAATAAACCTTTGCATTTACGAGGAGGGGGGTGGGCATTGATTGGCTGTGAGAAAAGGAGAGATGGGGTGAAGGAGGTGGGGGGGGGGGCACAAGGAGGCAGAGAAAGATCGGGTGGGATCAACCGAAACCTCATGAAATTCATCCTTTCCTTGCTAAAATGAAACATCCTAATAAATGCTAGATGGAGGGGTCAGAACCTGGAAAATCTACGGTCTTCGACTGGTCGCTTGGCAAAGCCTATTAAATCAATAGTCCAGCCCCCCTCCCCCACCCCACCAAGACTCCTTCCACTCAGGCCAGCCTTGTCTTGAATCTGTTTTACTAATTTCCAATTCAGCCTCACCCTCCCTAAACCCTCCTACCCATTCAGCCAAGACAGC